TTGAGAACGGTTTTTCTTGCATACACCTTGGGGGAAAATGACTCCTGCTACCATATATAGCAATTTTATATCCATAAATTCATGGTGTATCACAACCTTTGTTGGTAAAAAATAATGTAAAATAATAAAAAGCAATGATTTGTGCTGGTAGTTTACAACGGTCATGAATCAGTAAATTGACGATAAATATGATTGTTCTCATCCCACCACCTGTTCAGCGTTTTCCACGATGGCAAAATGGTAGCAAGTCCACATTGATCATGCAGCGGTGGGTCACCATGCCGTTAATCTCTAATCCTACACACGTTGACAACTACAGGACGAAATTTTATAGCATGAACTCGTTGTGGGATAATTCGACAAGGAGAACCATTTATTTTATTATCGTCAAATATGACCGGTAAACAGCTTATACTCTTGATAAACGCTGGACAATCTAAGTAAGTTTTCAGTCGCTTGTGCGATATTAAATGAAACATTGAACATGAAGGAACCTACTACATGGAAAAAGCCGCCTCAATGGCTTCCGATTTATTGGTGCTATGAGAGGCGTGGTAATAGCAGCAGCAGTGTTATGGGTGTTCAAACATCAGGCAAACGAGCGGGTGACAAGTGTTCAATGTTTTCGAGAAATACACTCATTTGCAAATCAGTTTGGTTTTCACGAGAGACTCAACTGAATCTCTTGTTTATGATGCTCTACAACTGAATGTGCTGCACACAGGCCACCTCATGTTTCAGTTGGTACGATATTCAAGATATCACAGTATATTTTCAAGAACATAAAGTTGATGGAAACTCGGGGACCGCACATAGCTGATGAGCCCCAAGAAGGGCGAAACCGGTCGTGGGCTGTCAAAGAGTTTTCAGCAACCCTTTGAGTAGTTTCCTTCATGAAAATATTCTGCGATATCTCGAATATCGTACCAACTGAAACCGGAGGCGTCCTGTATGCAGCACATTCAGTTGTAGAACATCATAAACAAGAGATTCAGTTGAGTCTCTCGTGAAAACCAAACTGATTTGCAAATGAGTGTATTTCTCGAAAACATTGAACACTTGTCACCCGCTCGTTTGCCTGATGTTTGAACACCCATAACACTGCTGCTGCTATTACCACGCCTCTCATAGCACCAATAAATCGGAAGCCATTGAGGCGGCTTTTTCCATGTAAAGTAATTTTTTTCCACATCGTCCCGTGCAATTGTTACCATTGGCGTTTATTGTTATCTGCTCACTATTTTAAATGAGATATTGTTCCATGAACAAAAAAACCGAATTTTTGGAACTTTTCGCCTCCCAAGGAGAGAAACACAGAGGCATTTTTCCATTTACCATACAGTAACTTGCATTGTATAGGTCATTGGCTCTGAGGTGAATGTATTCCGAAGCACAGGGCTTTTGAGGATTGTTTTGATTCCCTTACTATATTGCTAGATGGTGTATGCAGTGTACGGTAATGCAGACTGACATAAAAAACATGGATTTAGATGAAACGCACAGTATTCGAAACATCACCTCCTGTTTTCCTCATAAAAAGTTATTGTAATCTGAGATATATATTCGGGTAAAGGAGGAAGTCATTTCCTTCCATTTCATATTGTTTTACTCAGGAAATATTCACCAAATAAGGATGGGCCAAATGTTTGTCTCAAAGTCTTTGTATAATTATGGAAACGGTGTAAAATCTTGAGAAAATTGTGTCACATTCACATCGCTCTAATCGATGTTGATTGGAACTTATGAATTCGTTACCAGGAGAACCTAGTTTTTTTAACGCCATAGTACGTCAACAGATTCTGAATTTTGTACCCTAACAAATGCCTAATCACAAGTCCTTTCATTGATTTGTTCATTAATTTTTTTCGCGATTGGCAATCAAATACCTGTACAGGTATGGTCGAACGGGAGATGTAAGTGATGAGCATCTACGTCTCTTACCGTCTATCCACGAGTGATCCGAAGGGCTGACGCCAGTCGCAGAGATGCACCGATCCACTCTTTGATTGCGACACGGAGCACGGCGGGTCATAACTACCTCTAAATAATAATGTAGCAGTGGGTACAATTTGTGTTCATCTGACTTCTTCCCATTTCAAGCCAGATAACCACGCTGAAATATCTCTCTACGCATTTATGTCACGAGAAAATTCTCCATATTAAAGGTATGAGTTCAAAATTCATGGCCGACTGGGCCCATATACCGCCTTCGGTTAAAACACAGTGATGACAAGGAAGAAAAATTACGTGCCACTACTCTGACACAGTCTTGAGAACACGCGCCGAATTATGTGGTTCATGCGGTAGAACAAGCCAGAAGTGAGCAACAGACAACAAATGTCGGAAAGCGAGACGTTCTAATGAGCGCTTTCATAGAGAAACCCTTTGAACGTAACTTTGTGACGCGAAAGCTGTAATCAGAACATAATGCAGAGCCCCTTGCCAGCTACATACGGCTATTGGGTATATACTGGGCATATGCTGTCAAATGAGCTTGTGATGTACTCCATAACAATAGTTAATCCGACAAGTGGTGGTTTTTGGCGTACTCGTATTTGGTTTTCTTTGGTTTGTGCAACCCTTTTTTTACATGTGTGATTCAAGTTGTACAGCTTCACCCGATTGTGTCTCGCAATCATGATAACCGTAATCATCTGAGTATATATCGTGAAGTCCTCGCACGTTCTGAGTAACTCCTGAGTTATATTCGTAGCTTTCTGCTTGCCAGAAAATTATCCGTAAGTCTGTTCTATCTACCAACAGTACCCTTACATTGGCTTTCCTGAACAATATGTATTAGGCCAGCTGGAATATATTGGCATCCATCTGGTCAAAATGGTTATATTTTTGTTCACTGGGGCTTTAATGTTTCTCATTCCTCGTAGTGAAGCTTTCATTGGTTCTCAACGCATATACTTGTTCTAAACAATTTACTTTCGTCCTCTTTCATGGCCGAATTTTACGAGCCAGCTCTATGGTTCATTACTTTTGCATTGCAGCTAATAAAATGGTATCAGCGAACGACCCAGATTTATTTTACCATCTGTGCATTCATCCCAGTTTGAATGTATACCACCACACGTAGGCTGATGACCAGAAACAGCATTCTTCCTCAGGCGAACAGTCCTTCTTGCACTGGACTTTCAACCTACTTATATTTTCTTCAACGCGAAACACCTTCCCGACCAATTACAGGTTTGGTTGAATACGCATTGAAATGAGGGAGGAGTGGGGTCCAAACCGTACAGTATAAAGAGGAGATGGTTCTGGATTGCAGTGACTGTAACTTTGACGACCTATCACATACGTTCCTGATCAGCTGTGAAAGTAATGGCACCATTATTTTCAAACTCACTCAGACGTTTTTCACACTCCAACGAAAACACGCAACAGCAAGCATTTTCGCCCCTTTATTAGGAAAAAATCATCCTAACTGGGCTGTTGTCCACTCTACGTGACTGCGGTGACTTCATGTCAAATTAATCCAGGAATCCCAGCTATCTGGGACCATGGTCGTAGCAACTCGACTACTCATTCTTACACAAGTAGCTTGACCAAATATGCGTTCAAGCTGTAGTTGAGATGAAGAATGTGATGCCGGTGATTCAGCTGTGTGCCATCACCGTATTTCAAAAAAAATGATGACAGCTCATTCGAAAGGGGATGCCTAGGCAGATACACCTCACAAGCAGCCTTACATAGCAACAGCCCATTAGCGAAGATGAAGGCGGCAGAGATATCTTACGGACCATTCTGACAAAAAAGCTGATACTTTGTCGAAGAAGATATTCTTTCGTTCTATTCCCTTTCTGACAGCCATAAAGATTTTTAGCAGATGAACCGTATCTGTTTAGTGAGGCAAGCATCGCTGCAACTGTGCAGTATATTCGGTCTCTTGACTTTACCTCTGTCGATCCGTGCCGGTGTTCTGTAGAGAATTCCTGCATTGAACAAACGCACGAGTTATGGTCAGGATTAGCCTCATACGGCAAAATGTTTCTCTGACTCGTGTTGGATCATGATTGCTCATGATCTACCTCAATTATATTATTCCCCCATTCTATTGTTTACCCCAACCATGCGCTTTTTAGCTCCATTTGCTTTGCTCATTCGTACCCGCCAGTCACCTTGCCGAAAAGGCCATCGCGTCCGATACTGGTAAGTGCGTGACCTACTTACTCAAGCGTACTCGTGTTCAGTCCACTGGGCTTGCTCTGACTTGTTCTGTCGTGACATCCGCGTGATTGCACCGACAATCAGAATCACGAGGCTGGTCTGGGAAGGGACGACCTCAAGCTACAAAACCGTGCCTACATTCTGCCCGTCGTTTGCTGGTAGGCAAAGCTTGCACTGCATTGCGCCGGTCTGCGACAGGCTTGCTCGTGTGCTGACTGCGCGAGCATGGACAATTGAGACTTGCGATAATTCCTTCTGCTATTCGGAACCCTCAAACCTACCCACGATTCAAAGTTCCGTGTCGAGAACTTCAAAACAAAAATTATAAATCGCTGTCCTTCGCAGCGACTCCATTGTTTTGATGGATCTTTCTGACTATGCAATGTTTTGTTACCGACCGGAAAACTAGCGCGTTAGCAAAACTGCAATACCTAATAGCTGTCACACTATTGTCACAGTTCAACCATTCACACGTTTAGATTGAGGCTTATGTATCTTATACCAAAAAGCGGTTGGCCTTACTGGTCGTGTGTCGTTGTTGGAAATCAATCGTTCAACGAGATTCACAGCGGTACCCATTTAGCTCCCCGTATTTGATTGCTAGCATGGATTAATTTTAAAACCTTCAATGGACGTTTCGACCTGTAAATCGAGCTAATCCGTAGTGAAAACCCTAGAAGCATTGTACAGCTGTTTCGTATTTATCTCAAAAAAACTACAAGGGATTTCGAACACGTGACTATAAAGCTAATAGTTTTAACACCTAATCGTTCGGCCAGAAGTTGTACCACTTACTTAGCAGTGCATAACAGGACTTCGATGGTGATAAATTAATACTATCTTCAAGAATGAACATGTATGTGCAAATTCAGTGCCCTAGTTAATAAAAGTTTAAAAGAAGAAACTGACCAATTCTCCTCATTCCACAGCACAAAGAAATCAAGACATGCACCGAAAGGACTCGACTACACGCGTATACAACGGTGTTCAAAAACGCAAAACCAAAGCTGGAGTATGGGAGTTGGACGTCATTACTGAGGAAAAAATAAGAACAATAATAGCTGAACCATTTGGGGTTGCGCTAGTGAATAATCGGTAAGAAATTTTGGGGAGTAAACACTGAGACCGGCGAGAACTGCCAGTGTGTCGGGTATGCTTCAGATGTGGCTAGGCAACCAAAGAAAACAAACATGAAGCGGGATATTGTGCTAATCGTGTAGCTGTGTGGGGAATTGACAGATGGCCAACAGAAGGATAATTTGGAAATGTGCATCCATTGGGCGAGTATCATCTTTTCGGACGTCGTGCACAGAATTCCTTGTGTTCCTATAGGGGAAATTTCTATGATCTATGGCTGTGGATCAATAAAATTAGACCCTATTAGCGTTCGAGGTGTTAATCTTTTCCCCGGTGCACGGGGGTTTGTACGGTGCTGGCCATCCAACTTGGTGACGTCTTCGAGCAGCCTCCCGAGTAGCCCGCACAGCTTCTTCGTTAGCCTCACACAACTCTTTGATGACACTATCAAGTTCGTTCAAATAGTGCTTTGGATCATCGGATAAAACAGTTTCTGCAGTGGAACCAGTAGTGACAGGCGAAGATGGTTCTCTCTTATTTGGGCCCGTGCGTGGGGACTTCCAGTCCGAATTTATTCGGTTGATCAGGGAAGAAACCCCAGGCGTTGGGGTGAAATTAAGCTGAGTACAATGGATGGGTTCTTTTTTCATCTGAGGGTGTGGGCCACGTAGATACATTGACGCAGAACTGACCTTTGTGTTAAGAAGTTTTGAAAGTTGCACAGAATTCTGTTCATTCGCGACCGTCTTGTTTTCTGAAAAGAAAACAGTAACGAAGCGCGTACAGGCACTATGGAACGTTCGGGTCTAAAATGATATCACAAATGAATCACAATACCTTATAATTAACCACCTCGACAAGCGAAATAGCGTTCAACCCATAATGCTAGACTTGAAGGTGAGTTGAACGTTACCCGGCAATAAAAGCAATCGGAGTAGTTGCTATGTGAATGAATGTAGTTATGAATGCAAGTATAGAGGGAGTGAAAAAATTCAGCCTTCAAACAAAATCACAATGATGACTCGCACAAATTTTGCCAACCAATAATTCTGAAATCTGAACGAAACGCTTGCTAACGATTTTAGGGTAAACAAACTGAACGCAATTAAATTTTATGGTCCAGTAAGACAAGGTGGCAATAAACACCCTGAATGGTGTGGAAACTCTTGTCTAAATTCACCCGTTCAAATTGGAACCGACCAACAGACATTTCCAGGCGAATACTAACAGAAGTAACTAGGACACATGTATTCAGTGCTAAATGCATTGGATATTCTGTAGTCCTTTGCTGAGGGAGAATTTCATTCGGTCCCACACAAGACGACGTCCAACACCTGTTTTTGCAAGCCCACCAACAAACATGGTGTCCAAAATGACAAGAGGACGTGCATACAGTAGAATATTTTTCCCGTGGTTTGAATAAGGAACAGATAAGCGTGTGGGCTAAATAGCTTAATCAACCATAAAGATATTGTGGGTCGCCTGGAAAACCCAAGGTGCAGCTGGCGATTTTACCCGCAACTCCTAAAGCGGCACCGGTAAATTCGAAAAGTCTTCAGTGTTATCCAGATTCAGTGTAAAGAACATGTGAAAGACTAGCTGATGGTAATCCAGTCTGGTTCATTTTAGGCGTCAGGATACACATTTCCAATTCAGATGAAGTATCATCTTAAGTAACCTAAGGTGCATCTGGGTAGGTTACATTCTCTGTGGTTTAGGCCATCCGTCTATTTTAATCCCAAAGAACACAGCAGTAAAATACATGTATCTAGCATCACCCGTCAGTGCATGAAAGACTGAACGAACGAGTATATATGATCGATTTAAATCAGGTTGGGAATCATCTTAAGTTACTCGAAGTGCACTTAAATTCAAAGCGGCCGTTCGTTGAAATAAATGCGGTGAAATAGATATCTCACTGATTTGGGACCAAAAGGTCGGTCGTCTATAAGAATACTTCCTTATAAGAAGCATTCTTGAAGCGCTGGAAAAAGCAATTATATGAATGATGGCCCGCATAAAAATAGAGGTTTTCTTCAGGTTCACGTTACTTCGCACTATATATCTACGATATTCTCAAATGTACACCAAACTGGCACCTGACAATGAAGTATGATTCTTTTGATCCATTTGTTGTGCTTCGTTAGGGCACAAGATTCGTTCAAATTAGAAGCCGTCGAAAAATTACATTGCTGTCCTAACTGATGTGAGCTGTGTTCCGTCACAGTCTGGACATTACTTGTCATTTCTTGAGTTGCTTTGGACAAGTAAAACTAGGTTTTTCTGGTTCGTGATGAGTGATGTCATCATTGTGTACCATTCACATGACCATGCTAGTTTTTATTGACGAGTTATCGAAGCGGTTTAATTACTGTGCTAATTAGCTTTTCAAAGCGTGTCACACTTCTAATGGGTGATATCAGTCCCCTCACACGTGCCCATTCACCCACTACATATATATACTTATATATACACATTTATACGTCTGTATAAAGCAGAAGATAGATCGCGAGGAAAAGACACGTGACTCGCAATAAGTCTCTTCCATGCAATAAGTTGGCTTGAGGGTTTCATCCTGTGTACTTGTCTAGTTGTTTACATTAGGTAGAACAACATTTCTGAGAAATAGGTTGGATTTTCAAGTATTCATAGTGGATCCAACTTTGTCTCTGCCTCAAGACAAATTCAAAAGGAAGGAATCAGCCCCTGTATGGACAGCCGTTGACAGCAGTTGACTACGTCAACACAGAAGCGGCTGGGGTAGTCGTTTGATGGCTGCACAGGGAGCACACAGGGAGCTGCACAGTGAGCTACCAGTTTGGTACCGATTGGATGTCCATGTATTCCAATGGAAGTAGTTCGCTGGCAAATCAGTGTCACCTTATCCCACCTTATCCCCTATGTTTCTCTCTCTGAGTGACTGCGGCTTTCATCACAATCTCAAGTGGAACTGCGGTGCTAAAGATAGCCCTTTTCCTAAGGGTTTCCTACATTGGATCAATAACGAAGGCTTCCAGAGCGCTTGCCTTTCATCGTGCTGCACCTGTAGGCTCAAAGAACATCCAAAAGAATTGTTGTAAGTTGGCAAGTTGTGCGGAATTTCACTACTTGAATAGTACAGGATTCATAGACGATTCTCAGTTCACTGAATGAACAAAATGTGGCAACCAGCAGGAAATGGTAGTTTTGATAAACACATTTATGGTGAGCGCCCCCGGGGCATAAATACCGAGATTACAGCGCATCAACCTACCTTTGTGTCCTTTCTACAGTGTGATAGCAAGACTCTTAATAATGTACAGACGATGTTTTTGACCCTGTACTGAATTCACTCGCAGTGTCTGTGAAGAATTCTTCTGAAAAAATGCAACCACCGGGTCCCGGAAGTCAAAATTCTTCGGAAAGCAGTCGGATGCAGTATCACTCTACTTGGAATAAGCGATGAAAATCCGCATCTGAAAACACTTGCCTGCGTTCAGTTGAAAAATAATTATTGAAGTCGAAAATATTGCCACTGAGATGTAAATGTGCAAAAAGCCGTACATTCTGTTTTGGATAACTCAAAGTCCTTTCACTCAACAGCGAGTTATTCAGAACGACTGTCATTACAAATTCAAGGAGCTCTAATACGTGATACATCTCAGTAGTGCAAAACAAGCGGGCCATTTAGAAGGTAAGCAATATCTCAGTACAACCTCAATCACATGTACTTGTGCAGCGTGAATGCACACACCTTGATAAGAACGAAAACAGTGGGATGTAAAGTTTACTGTCCCCATTTCCTGATCAGTATTTGCCTAAAGTCTGTCACTCAACCTCACTAACTATATGGTTACTGAAATACCGTCATCTTGGTGATTTACTGCTAAGTGCTCCCGGAAAACTTCCTACGGCACGATGATGACGTTTGGTTGGCGGTTTCTCAGTTACGGACAACAAGTGACTAGTGCTGGTGTTAACTATTATCCCAACATCCCCGGGCCGACCGATGGTCTAGAACTGGATTCTGCATGTTCGCGCACCTGCCCTATGCCTTGTAGTCCACAACTGCACTTGAGGCTTGAACAAACCCGCTGTGACTGATCAGCAACGCACAGTCATTCACTGGTTCAGGCACCTTTTATCACGCCATCCATTCATATATACAACACAGTTTCGTGTCCAAGAAATTCTGTCAGCCGTGTGTAGTTCCTCACTCAATTTTATAAACTAAACATTCGTCCCGCATTGATGGCGCGGAAGCAGGTGAAAACAGATCTCAAACACTTCAGCCACTGAAATAAGCCGCACATTATCGGACCGATAGTAGTCGTGCGGAAGTATGAACATAAATGAAAAATGAGTCAAATACACTCCTTCTGATCTGATCCAAATTAACCGTTCCCTCATTGTGTGTAACAGTTGGATGGCCGGCAGCTAAGGCAACCTGCACAAATAGACCTAAATATTTCGGCCAAAAAAAGGTTATAAAAACACAAGGCTCATAATATGGAAGTGATTTTTACGGCAAGGTGTGCTTCAGCCTAGAAGGCAGACCTCGACCTGGCCTGTTTGACCAAGGAAACAAATGCTGATATGATCTTTTTATTAAGTTGTCCGTCATTCATCCAGACATATAAAATGAGACTATGAATAATTACAACTCAATTGACACACAGTAGTTACACATCCTTCTGACCATCGGGATTTTATGAGTCGATTGATCCCCATGATTGATCGCCAACTGAAATTTAGCAGACTTTTCCTGAAGAATTTTGATTGTGTTAGGAAAACTCCACTTTTGGACGGACGCAGAATGATTGGAAATATTTCTCCTTCTCAAGAAAAAGTCATTGTAAGACAACAAAATGTTTCCACGAGGAAAGTGGACCTTCTTGGAAACGTAACGATTAATTATCGATCTTACTTTTATGGTCACCAAAAACGAATCCTATCAGCGCTGGTGTCTTCCGGATCGTATTATCTTTTTCTGAGGAAACCGGGGCTAAATTTCTATAATCGTTTTGACAGAATCCATGCATTGTGGCCTGCGGTTCCTGATATTTTTTTTATTGCTCAGTATACACCATATCTGAGTTGCAACAATACCAAGCAAACGGGACACGCTGAGACATGCTGAATCGCTGTCAGTTTGATGGATTGCCTTCATTTCCCCGCTTTGGACGAAATATCATTTTGATGTCATGTTTTTGCTGTAAGTAGCTGTGTGCCCTGTAACCCACGGTGTGCCAGGCATATCACGACTGGCATAACCATGCCAACTAACCCGATAGAATTTGGTTCATTTCTAAGCCCACACTAGGTTGTAGTTGTCCTCACAATAATCCCAGAGCAAACTGGATGGAATTTACAAACCGAAAACATAAACAATACTGTCCGCCAACCACACTGCTTGCACCACACATCTCCGATGGCTCGTCTAGGGCACGATTGTGCATGGCATACCGCATTTTCCTATGAGCTCGGATAACTGAAGCTAAGCTACCGATGTTGCGTTCGTGTAGCAGTAATGATGAACGGGCTCAGGTGTTTCTCGTGAATCGGCCGATACGATAACAGGCTCAGGTGTTTCTCGTGAATCGGCCAGTTCGATTTATCGGGCGATACGATTCGTGAGCGAAGCCAAAATCTGGCACTACGATTGCAGTGTTTATTGCTCATTTCCCCTGTATTGTAAAAGTCACTTAACCCCTCTGAGCCAACATGATGTACTATTCATTATAATAGGGTCTAAGCACATATTCTGACGAGCTC